TTTTCTTCGTTCTTACATGTGTGGAAGGGGTCACCAGACCCACCTGTGCCAAAGCCAATTCTAGAGTTACGGTTAGTTACATTAGAGAGGCAAGGTATCTTTCTGCCGTCCATTTTAACTACCATTGTCCATTAATCCCCCCCCCCGCCACCTTCAAGGTCATCAGTCATGTGACAGTAAACCATGACTTTTCTATGATCCACCTCAGAACTGAATAGGCTCTTTTTTCCTGTGACCTGAAGTCAATTCGCATTTATATACGTGTTAGTCAATTGTTTCACATGCTTGTTAATTTACATTTGATTACGTGGAGTAATAAATATGCTCCAATTAAATATAACTGATTGGCAGGGCCGAAAATATTCGGCTTGAGATCATGACGTACAGACCGAGGGTTTTTTTTTTTTGTTTTTTGTTTTTTTTAACTTAATTCCTTCAATAAGGTCAAAGTGCGCAGGGGTGTGCGGCTTTTGCCAGCCAGAGTTATACGGGGATTTTATATCAAGTGTTTTCACATAGAAAGCTTACTTATTACACAGCAAGGCTCTCCTCGTAGGTAGACCTGATACTGTAGAACTGACAAACATATTAGCAAAATAAGTGACTCGTAACGGCAATTTCATGATATTTTGCAAGACAAAAGATTGACCTTTTTTTTTTGTAAAAGCAGATGTAATTTCAAACGATCACCCTCCTATGTCGACCTCTACTTTAAAATAACCAGTTTTCTCCGTGCCCAAGAGACCTTATTTCTACTGTATTGTGGTATTTCTACCTTTACACCTAGAAACTAACCAACCTTTAAAAAAAGTTTTCAATTCTGATGCACCTTTGACTTAGGTAAATTTCTGAATACGAATGAAACGGACTTGTAATAAAATAAAATACAAAATTACAAAGGTATTACGCATATTGTTGAGGTATATCTGTATAAATACGCACCCTAATTTGATGACGTCCATGGCTTTAATAAATTTATCAAAATCTGTAACATAAATCTTAGTACATAAATAAAAGATTCTGGCGAAACGAAGGAAGGCGGAAAAGGACAAATTCCTTGTGTGCGGTGAACGAAAAACTAGACAAAATCTCTGAATGGTATTCTCACAATAGAACTCTCACTCTTGGTTGTGAAGACATTTGTGATCAAAGTGGACCAGTGCTCGAGCTATGTTATATTACTCATGCTATGAAATTTTACTTTCGCACGTCAATCCATCTCCATGGTATTCTGGTTTACATGTACATTTATAAGATCCCTTGGTATTGTTACACACAGCATCAACACTGGAGCTGTGTTATTCCTCAACAAACTAATCAATATCTGAAAATAATTTCCTTGTTTTATTCGTTAGTAACATGTGTAACTTCACGATTATGTAACTTTTTTTTGTTTTTTTTTTTTGCTCAGTTCATCAGCCCGTTTCGTCCCTAGGATATAAAAGTCTACCCTGAACACGTTTACTCATACTTTGAAAATTTTACCTCCGCGCGACATTCTATCTCCATGGCATCTAGGTTTACATGTACAATTGTAAGAGCCTTGTTAAGCTATCTTCAGTTAGTAAGTTTATTGAAATTATTACTTAACTTATTACTTAAAATAAAGTGTGGCAGAGCGAGGTGTGCAGGGAACAAATACACTAGTCAAAATCTCGGAATAGTATTCTCACAGTACGTACAACCCTCACTCTTGATTATAAATACCTTTTGATTGATAATCTCCTAGCACCTTGGATTAGATAGGTTCAGTACACGAGCTATATTCTCATGTTATTCTTGCCTTGAATATTATACCTTCGCACGTCAATCCATCTCCAAGGTAACGTGGTTTACATGTACATTTGTACGATCCTTTGGTATTGCTGGACACAATATTAACACTGCAGTTGTATGATCCCTCAGCGCACTCATTAATATCCAAAACAATTTTTCTTGTTTAATAAGGGTAGAGGTAGAGGATTAGGGTAGAGGATTAGGGTAGAGGATAGAGATGGAACCTCCTCAGTTGTTACTCAGCAAATGTCAGCTATTTGACCAACATTTTGGAGTAAAGCTGGTAGCTTGAGAAGCTATCTTAATGAGTTTATTAAAATCTGTAATATAAATATTATTACATAAAAAATAGTCGGCCGAAGCGCGGGGAGGCGGAAAAAGACAACTTCCTAGTGTGTAGTGGTAACATACCAGACAAAATCTCGCGAGTCTATTCTCACAGTACAACCATCGCTCTTGGTTAGTTGTGGAGACATTAGTTACTGATAACCTCCATGCGGACTCAGTTGGATCAGCGCTCGACCTACGTTTTCAGATTCCTCTTACTTTGAAAACTTTACGTTCGCACCTTAATCCATCTCCATGGTATCCAGGTTTACATATACAATTGTAAGAATATTAGTATTGTTACACACAGCGTCAGCACTGCAGCTGCGTAATCCTTTAGCATACTCATCAAAGTCTGAGAATAATTTTTCCCTATTTCGTACGTCAATAACATGTGTAATGGTTTCCAATTTCATG